TGGATGATATTCCCTATCAAGTGTGTTCAAACTTGCAAATGTCTGCTGATTCAATGAAGCTATGTTATGATAAAAGATCTACTGAAGTCAGCTTTGTACCAGGAGACAAGGTGTGGTTAAATAATCCCAGGAAGACCAAAGGGAAGTCTCCTAAGTTGTTTTCTCCATGGGAAGGCCCATATGACATAGTGGATCGTCTCTCAGACGTGACTTTCCGAATAAAATGTAGTCGGCGAAGTAAGCCAAAGGTGGTGTGTGCCAACAGGTTTTGGCATTATCGTGGTCCAGGACATTTCAGTTGAAACGAAGTGAACAACAGAACAAATGACTGCTGAAGACGTGTCACCTGAAAAAGCCACTGTCGAAGAAGAAGCTCTACCCGGTTTTGAGAAGGGAAACAGTGAAGCCATTAATGAAGTTACTACCACTGATGTGACTGTTACCAGTAATGGGACATTTCCTACTGGAGCAGCTGAACCTCACGGGAACCAGATGCCCATGAGATGGAGACCAGTACTGAGGAAGATACGTCCCGTAAAATTAAGAGACTTTGTTGGATTTTAATTTTGTGTTTGTAAATTCTGTACATTTAATTAATTTATTGTTAATTATCTATTGGTTTAATGTAAGTGGCTGTTTTTCGGGACGAACAATACTAAGGAAGGGGCAGTGTTACGACTGCCGAAGTCATGCGATGCTGGAAGCATGTGCGCTGAAGTTTCTAGAAGGATCATGAATTATTGAGGAACTCTGCAAATGTCCTAGTGTTTGCCAGGCACCCTCTTTTTTAGTATATAAACCTGGCGAGAAAAACCAGCACAAGGTCAGAGATAGATAGATTGGAGATATAGATAATTGAGTCAAGCGAACAGTAGGCAATGTAAATAAAGTGTGTGAATCACTGTGAATTATAGCGTGTGTTTATAAAAATAGTTAAGTTAAAGTGACTGTGGAAATTCTGTGTATTACTAAAAGTTGTATCAAGAAAGAATAAACTAGTTTCAATCAAGACAGGACTTGTATTGCTGAAGTTCTTCGGAAAGAATTTCTACTGGAAATTAACAAACAAGCAGATACGTAACAGTAGTTTATAATCTACAACTAAATATACCCCTGAGTGAGTTTGGATGAACTAACATTTACTGACATTTTAAATAAATTAAGCAGCAGTTAGTTTATAACCTACTGGTAAATAAACCCCTAAGTGAGTTTGGATGAACTAACATTTACAGACTTTATATATAGATTAAGCAGCAGTTAGTTTATAATTATAAATTAATTGCTGCTTGATTTATTTATAAGATCAGTAAATATTAGTCTATCCAAACACACTTAGAGATTTATTTATTTGTAACTTATAACATAACTGCTGCTTCATGTATTTATAAAGTCAATAAATATTAGTTCATACAAACTCATTTATGGGTTTATTTACCTGTAGACCTACAGGTAAATAAACCCTTCATAACAGATAACATGTTTTCATCATTGAATGTCATTGATACATTTAAATTCTGAGCAACTTTGGTAGTAAAGTCAACAATATAGTTAAAATAACACTGGATGTTATAAATATTTTGAATGTATAACTGTTGATTTTATGGATTACTACAAGAAAATATATTATCTCTGATAGGTCATTTTGCCACTGATGAAATTCACAAAAGGTTGCAGCAGTTGAATGAAAAATGGCAGCAGCTAAAGGTCAGTATTTCAGGGTTACAGGCTAGTTAATAGGGATAAAGTATTAAAGAGGGGAGGAGGAGGAGTGGCTTTATATGTAAAATGTGAGTTACATCCTGTTGAAGTTGAGGATACAAAGATAATAGCAAAGAGACTGAATACATTTGGGTTTCTATTAGTGGATATAAAGGGAAAAGGCTTTTAGTGGAATTTGTTACAGACCATGAAGTGATACTGATGAAATTAGTGAGAAACTTTACAATGAGATTAAGATTTCAGCTGTTAATGAAGTCCTAATTATGGGTGATTTTAATTTCAGGCATATAGATTGGGAAATTCTAGAATTAAACCATGACGGAGAAAGGTTTTTGGAAACTGTTCAGGATGGCTTTCTTCACTAGTTAGTCAAGGAACCAACTAGAAACAATGCTATTTTACACATTGTTAACTTCAAATACAGAAATGATTGAGAGGGTGGCAATTGAGGAACACTTGGGTGCAAATGACCATTACTCTATTAGGTTAAATGTTTTGTTGCATATGGAGATAAGGAATAAAGATATTTTGGTTACAAATTTCAAAAAAGCTAATTTTGAAGGGATGTGACAAGAGTTATCTGTTTTGAATTGGGCAGTTGAGTTGTTTGGAGACATTGATCAGATGTCGAAAATTTTTAAATATTCATTGTAAACATATTCCTAATAGAAAGAAAAGGGTAGCTATATGTAAAAAAAGGTTGGCTCACAGAGTTTAAGAAAGAAAATTAAAGAAAAACATCATAAATTTAAGAAATTTAAATTGATTGGTATGACAGGAGATTTAGAAGATCAAGAAAGTTGGTGAAACAGGAAATTAGGACATCAAAAAGTATGTATGAGAAAAAGTTGGCTGAGAATGTAAAAATTAACAGTAAGGATTTCTTTAAATACATTCAGGGGAAACAAGATATTAGGATAGGGATAGAACCCTTCAGGAATAGTAAAGGACGGCTAGTATCTGATGATTATGAGATGGCTGGGTTATTAAGTTTTTATTTTTCTTCTGTTTTGACTAATGACTATTTAAAAAGTATTCCACATCTTGACCAATTAATAAATGGAAACCATATCAAACAAGATGACTGCATTAATTCTGAGCTGGTTAAGAAAAAATTGGGAAGTTTATGAAATGATAAGGCTCCTGGGCCAGATAATATTTCCCCAAGGGTTTTAAAGGAGGTTAAAGATTGGATATGTGAGCCACTTGCTACTATATTTTTGTCAGTTCTTGAATAGTGGGCAGGTACAAGAGGATTGGAAGTTACCTAAAGTAACTCCTCGTTTCAAGAAAGGTGAAAACAATTGCCCCAGTAATTATAGACTCATTAGTTTTACATCAGTTGTGGGGAAAATTTTGGAAATTCTGTTAAAAGATGCTTTGCAAAGTCACTTAGCGAAGTTTAGAATTTTATTGGATAGTCAACATGGTTTCACTAAGGGAAAATCTTCCCTTACAAATTTTATATAGATGAGGGTAAGGGAGTAGATTTGGTGTATTTGGATTTTCAGAAAGCATTTGACAAGGTGTCACATAAAAGGCTTGTGAAAATAATTATTTCTATAGGTGTGGGAGATAAGTTAGCAAATTGGACAGAAGAGTGGCTGGATGGAAGAAAGCAGAGGGTTGTTACAAATGGAG